CCCCAAGACTGTGGGACGACCTGCTGGAAGAGCTCCGACAGCTAAATGAGTCATTGGTATTTAAAACACATTTGAAGACCTATCTCTTCCAGCAAGCCTACTCAGCCAGTTTTAATCACGGTTTAAAAATTGCATCTTCTGTTTAATCTTTGTTCTGTGTATTTTAATACGTGTTTTGTAGAAATATGTTTTAATATGTGTGGTTTCTAGAATGCTTTAGACCATTATATGTTTTTAGCAATCTTGTAACCCACCTTGAGCCACGAGGAGAGGCAGATAAGGAATAACATTATTGTTACTATTATTATTAATGTTAAAATTGTTGATCTGGCAATTTGACCCCGTAGCTTTTTGTTACATAGGTCAGGGAGGCACAGCCAATCTCAACAGCAGCTGTTAGGTATGTATAGCTTGAATGATGCATATATTTCCATTTTAAAGATGCATAAAAATATCACATGAAAAGCAGTGCTTAGTCAGTGCAACTAAGCCTGATTCAACCCCTTCTGAATGGGTCCACTGCAGAACACCCACCATCTGTAGTTTTACATCAACAGGAGAAGTATATGCAAATCATGCTAATTGCATTCAACTCAGATTTGCAAATGAGCGCCAATCCTCCGGGTTATGACAGATCCAAAGTGGTTACCCTCCACTGTCCTAGAAAATCCCTGTGGAAAGGCAGGCTGCCTGCTCATTCTACCTACTGGTTGCCACATTGAAAGGGGGAAAGGAATCGAACAAGATGGGAACAAACCAGAAGGAAAAGAGCTTACAAAGCTCTTTTAATTGGACTCGGCAAGTTACCTCTTTCAAACCCCCCTCTCCTGAACTCCAGGGGCTATTCTTCTGTCAAAATTATAGCGACAGATTCCTGAATGATGGTGACTGCCTGGAAACATTCTGTCTGTGTTTATTCACTGCTTCTGGGCATTATCATTGGTATGAGTCACACGATCCTGCCCAAGCCTAACCTAACACAGCAGTTGCTTTAACATCCACATGCCACCGCAGCTAGGATTAACTAGAATAATAGGGGATAGGTCATATATTTGGGGCACCCAAATGGGTACAGGGCTGTTTATTTCATCAGCGTTCATTTGACATGTACTTCAATAAATATGCACTGGGAAAGAGGGAACAGAACACATGCCTTCTGGTATTGGTCTATTGTCGCAAGACTTGCAGTGTTCCCTGTCTTGAAGCCTTCTTTCCCCCGGTTCTTTATATTCCATGTATACTGCCACTTTACATGAGTGGAAAACAAACAAAGCACCAAAGAGGCTCAAGCAATTACTTCTGAAACCTGAAATTATGTCTGGGACATTCTCCGGGAAATATAGCTCGTGTTTCTTAAGAGGGGTATTTTTCCCTCTAGGTTTGCAAGCTGTAAGAGAGGAACTTTCTTCTCGGATCACAGTTCTTTCCCAAAATTTCCCGCAGAGTTTTTCTCTATTGTAGGGAACACGCAAGTCAGAAAATGACTGTCAACGACTGAGTTAAATGACACGATGTTGACCAGGACTTGGCTGTCAGCACAAACCAGGACAAATCATGTTCAGTCATCACATCTGTTTAACTATGATTAAGCCCTGCTGAGACCTGCAGGGTTGTGCCTCTCAGCTACAATTGAATCCTCGGAGAAAATAGTAGGGCTGGGACTGACATTTGAAATGTGCCAGGGTTGCAGTCTACAATTTATTCCCACTTCCCTCTTTTTCTTCTTTTTCTTTTTTCCATCTCTTCGTGAGACTGCAAAATTTAGAAACACTGCATCAAAAAGAGAGCTGTCACATAGAGCTCCAGTCTAACATATCTCTGTAATTTCTTCCTTTTGTGTGCATGGTTGCTAAGCTGGAACCTCCACCCAGTTCTCAATTCCAGAGATAAATTGTTTGAACTGTGGCTAATTGGCAAGGAACAGATCTGATGTATCTTGTTTACATATATTTCATATGCATGCTGCATACGGTCTAGGAATGCTTCCCGTGTTATAAAATGAAATGACTTATCAAGTTCACTTTCATCTAGCAGAACAAACAGGGTGGTGGGTTTTGTTTTTTTGGTTTGTTTTGGCTGCTCCATAATAAAGACCGCCATAGCTGAAATGCTCTTTCTAATTTTGCAATTTATTCTCAAGGGCTAATTTGCAAAATGAAATTGTTTGGGTGATTGGTTTGCAGTAAACATGATGAATCAAATTGGCTTTTACAAGTAGAGAAAGCTTCTATTTCCATTTATAATAATAATCAAGCAATAGCAGCTCATATTAATAAGGCTGGCCTGGATTTTTTTGTTTGTTTTGTTTTTTAAATCAAGCAACAGAACTTGCAACAAAAAGGACATGGGATATGACCAAGCAAGTCCTACAAGCCATTTTAGAATATTTTTATTGGCAAGGATTATATTGGGTTTTTGTGAGTTTTTTGGGCTGTATGGCTATGTTCCAGAAGCATTCTCTCCTGACGTTACACCCACATCTATGGCAGATTGTGAAATCTGATGGAAACTAGGAAAGTGATGTTGTTTATATATCTGTGGAATGTCCAGGGTGGGAGAAAGAACTCTTGTCTGCTTGAGGCACATGTGAATGTTGCATCTGGCCACCTTGATTAGCACTTAATGGCCTTGCAACTTCAAATCCTGGCTGCCTCCTGCCTAGGGGAATCCTTTGTTGGGAGGTGTTAGCTGACTGTTTCATGCCTGGAATTCCTCTGCTGTTTTAGTGTTGCTATTTATTTGCTGTTCTGCTTTTGAGAGTTTTTAAAATACTGGCAGCCAGAGTTTGTCCATTTCCATGGTTTCCTCCTTTCTGTTGAAATGGTCCGTGTGCTTGTGGATTTCAATGGCTTCTTTGTATAGCTTAACATGGTGGTTGTTCATCATCATCATCATCATCATCATCATCATCATCATCAGAGCCCCCGGTGGCGCAGTGGGTTAAACCCCTGTGCCGGCGGGACTGAAGACCGACAGGTCTCAGGTTCGAATCTGGGGAGAGGCGGATGAGCTCCCTCTATCAGCTCCAGCTCATGCGGGGACATGAGAGAAGCCTCCCACAAGGATGATAAAACATCAAAATCATCCGGGCGTCCCCTGGGCAACGTCCTTGCAGACAGCCAATTCTCTCACACCAGAAGCGACTTGCAGTTTCTCAGGTCGCTCCTGACACGACAATAATAATAATAATAATAATAATAATCATCATCATCATCATCATCATCATCATCATCATCATCATCATCTGTATACTGCCCTATCTCCCCAGTGAGACTCAGGGTGGCTTCCGACATGTAAGGCTAACATTCAATTATCAGAAAGAAACCATACTGACAATTACATCAAAATAAACACATTCGACAAAATAACACAACCTAATTAAACTTCCTAGACAAAATAAAACTTCATAAATACAAAAAAAAACCCTGCTAAAACACATTAAAGATAAAAATATTAAAAACTCATTTCATTGTAGCTCCATCAGTAGAGGTTCAACAAAATCAATGGCCAGGATTACTAAATGGACATGGGACAACTATAAAAGGGCTGGGCATCGGATAGTGCAAATACCAAATCATAAGGCCAGGGAAGTGGATGAAGTGCAGGACAGAGTACTATCTGATTACCTGGGAACTGCGCCTCAGGACTAATCATTCTCGAAAACTTGCTGGAACATCCAGGATTTCAAGTCCCTGTGAAAGGAGGACAGTGTGGGACTGCCTAATTTCCCTGGGGAAGGAGTTTCAAAGTCAGGGGGCCACCGAGAAGGCCCTCTCCCTTGTTGCCACCAATCATGCTTGTGATGGTGGTGGAAGTGAGAGGAGGGCCTCCCTGGCAAATCTTAGAGTGGTCCAACATTTCTGTGTTCCCAAATAATATGTTGTGTCCAGCTTGGTTCATCAGATGCTCTGCTATGGCTGATGTCTCTGGTTGAATTAGTCTTCAGTGCCTTTCATGTTCCCTTATTTGTGTTTGGGCAATGCTGTGTTTTTGTTTTGTTTTTTCCATGAAACTGCAAGTCGCTTCTGGTGTGAGAGAATTGGCCGTCTGTAAGGATGTTGCCCAGGAGACACCCTGATGTTTTTGATGTTTTATCATCCTTTTGGGAGGCTTCTCTCATGTCTCCGCATGGGGAGCTGGAGTTCATCTGCGCTCTCCCTGGATTCGAACCACTGACCTGTCCATCTTCAGTCCTGCCGGCACAAGGGTTTAACCCACTATGCAACCGGGGGGCTGCTACGCTCTGTTTGGTGGTCCCTATGTAGACTTGTCCACAGTTCCATGGTATATGGTAGACTCCTGCAGAGGTGAGAGGATCCCTCTTGTCCTTTGCTGAAGAATTATAAGAAAGCACAGTCTCTATGTAAGAGATATGACCTACTAAAGATCTAATTCTCTACAGATGCCAAGGACAGGCAGGCAAGAGGAAAGATGCCTAAGCAATGGAGGAAAAAGAGGGGAAAGATGTCCAAAGGTTGCATACAGAGATGCATATATAAATCAGAACCAGTGATATTTCCCTTCCTCCTTTCTTAGCTTGAGAAACTGGTTCAAGGTTAGTCGGTGAGTTTTGTGCATGATTGCGGAACTGGACGAGGCTTTTCCAGTTCAAATCTGGCATTCCATTCAGCACACTACACTGGCTCTCTAACCTTAATGGAAATAATTAGGTGCATTCCCCAAGTGGATGAGTGCATCCAGCAGTTTCAGTTTCTCCATTTCTCTCTTTTCTTTCCTCCCTTCCTCTGTCCTTCCTTCCTTCCTTCTTCTGACTTTTTTTTTTTTGCAGATTTTCTTCTAAAAGGATGATTTCACCTCAGATAATTAGACTGCAGCTCCAGCAGACCATTTTACCAAGAATATGCAATAACAAGGCAATGCTGAAGATTGTGTGGGAGTGTCACATAAATGGTCTACTGAGCTTTCCCAGCTGATATTTTATTTCACGATGCAATGTTAGTTGTTTTTTTTAAACCCTCCACAACTCAACATTCAACGTATTTCCTGAATTAAATCGTATATTTAAGTCTTGGTAAACAGACTGTCTCATTTGAACTCGTATGTTTAATTTGTAGCTCTACAGTTTAAAGGCTGTGGAATCCATGTCTCTTCTTGGAAGTCTGGGTGGATGGATTTTCGGTAAAAGCTCCTGAGCATAAAGTGTCCTATGAAGTCCAGCTTCTCGCAGAGCTATTTCCACTCGGATGCGGGGGTCAGATATAATCTGTTGGGGGAGAAAGATATATTAATGTGCAAAAACACAGATACATTTCACAAATCAATCCACATACAGGTTGAGTATCCTTTATGGTAAAACATCAAAACATCCAGGCATTCTCTGGGCAACGTCCTTACAGACAGCCAATTCTCTCACACCAAAAGTGACTTGCAGTTTCTCAAGTTGCTCCTGACATGAAAAATAAGTGAATAATGAAATGCTTGGGATCAGGATTTCCATTCACCCCTCCCCTCAAATTTTAGAATTGTAGTATTTGTATAGAGGTACTTAGTGAGATCTCAGGCCCCCTGTTGGTGCAGTGGGTTAAACCACTGAGCTGCTGAACTTGCTGACCAAAAGGTTGGTGGTTTGAATACAGGAACAAGGTGAGCTCCCATTGTTAGGCCCAGCTTCTACCAACCTAGCAGTTCGAAACATGCATATGTGAGTGCATCAATAGGTACCGCTTCTGTGGGAAAGTAATGGTGCTCCATGCAGTTATGCTGGCCACATGACCTTGGAGGTGTCTATGGACAACACCAGCTCTTCGGCTTAGAAATGGAGATGTGCACCACCCACCAGAGTCAGACACGCTAGACTTAGTGTCAGGGGAAACCTTCACCTTTACTTTTACTTAGTGATAAAACTCGAAGATGGGACCCAAGTCTAAGCACAACATTCATTTATGTTTCATAACCTCCTTATACACACAGTCAGAAGGTAATTTTATTACATGATATTTTAATAATTTAGGGCAGTTTATGTACACTGAACTACCACTATCTCAGCCACTCATGTAGACAATTTTGTATTTTGGAATATTTTGGTCTTCGAAATTACGACTAAGGGGTGGTCAACCAATATCTTGGAATAAACTTCCCAGGCCTCAACATCATACATTTAAAAAAATATTTTAAATACCAATCTATTAATCATATGCTATGATTCCACTTTAACTATACTGATTCCATTCTATAGAATTCTGGGATTGGTAGTTTAGGAAAGAGCCTTTAAAATCTTCAGCCAGAGAACTCCTCAGGTGTCTCTGACCAAACTACAACCCACAAGAGTCCATAGGATGCAGCCATAGCAATTATAATGCAAAAATTTGCTAGTGTGTAGTGTGAATGGGCTCAGGGTGTCCTGGATGTCTCTTGTTCATAGGGTTGTCATAATCCAAGCATTGGCAAACTTTGGCCCTCCAGGTGTTTTGGACTTCAATTCCCACAATTCCTAACAGTCAGTAAGCTGGCTTGGATTTCTGGGAGTCGAAGTCCAAACACCTGGAGGGTCAAAGTTTGCCAATGCCTGTCATAAGTCAAAGCCTTATAAAGTACAAACCCCAGGATTCCGTAGCAGGCAGAAAACCAAGCCATGTATATCAGCAGAATAACCTAGATCAGGGGAAAGTAGTAGTTTTCTGCCCAAGATATCCACAGAATGTGATGACCCTTCAAATGTGCAAAAAACGCTAACAAATCAAAATCAGAAGTTTTGATTTGTTAGTAGTTTGATTACCAATTTTTTCCTCCCCCTGACCCCAATTGCAATGAGTATAGGTAAATAAATTTACAACGCAAAAACCCCATCATTAAATCTCAAACTGAAGTTGTTCCTGCCTGCAAACCTCATTTATTTATTTATTTTGTTTATTTATTTACTATCTCACCCCAAAGGGGACTCAGAGCAGCTTACAGTTTGGCCATTTCATACTGTTATGCCCTTGCTACTGTTTTGGATTACTGCAATGGCCCCTGCAGACAAATGTGAAGCTGCCAAAGTGGCTGCGGTAGGCTCAGACATGGAAGCAGGAACAATGGCAACGGTGTACAGAAGTAACCCGTAATTGAAAACAAGCACAATGTAGCTATAAATGTATAAAAGTCAACATTAAAGTAAAATTAAACTGTTCACAACATTAAAATGCACACATAAAGAGGATAAAAGGCAGTTAAAAAGAGTTTTGTGGAAACAATAAGCACTCTCTAAAGCCTTTTTGTTAAAAAAGAACCTTCAGCTCTAAACGCCTGTCAGAATAATTTTTTTAAAAAAGTATTTGCCTGCCAATGAAACAACAGCAAGGGATTTCCAAAGCCAACAAGCAGCTATGGGTGAGCCATACCAGGCATACCTGTGGAGTTGAAGGAACTGAAAGAAGGATCTCAGGCCTCAGGAGGGATCATTTGGTGAAAAATTGTGTCAGCCTGAACTAAGACTTCCATAAGCCCCAGACAGCTAATTCAAACTACTGTATAGCTCAGTGGTTCTTAATCTGTGAGCCGCGGACCACCAGTGGGCCGTGAGGATGAAAATCTGGTTCAAGAGCCTTCCTTCCTCTTTATTTATTTTATTTCAATTATTTCATTTCCACTCCTTTCACACTGCCTGACACTCCTTCCCTGTTGCTGACTATGACGTATGTTCTTTATCAGAAACAAGAGCGGATGTGGTCTATCCATTGAAATTTTCTGAATCAGCACCCCAAACCGAATCTAAAGTTGATCAAAAACTGATTCATAAACCTTTTGGTACTAATGTTGGAGAGTGGTCCCTGGTCAAAGAGGTTCCTGGTCAAGTGGTCCCTGGTCAAAAAGAGGTTGGGAACCACTGGTGTAGCTTAAAATACCTAGAGAGCTAACATGTTGTTATCTCTATACTGACTAACAAGCAGCAAAGTTAGCAATTTAGGAAGGTACCACATTGGGAAGTTTCACTCATCCTTGTCCTAGTCTAGAATGATATTAAAACAAAAGTATTGAGAGCTAGCTCACAGGTAATGACAGTGCAAGTGAAGATACTGGCTTCCCTTTGCCATAGTATGGCTCCATAATGATTTGCCACATGGGTTAATCCAACTCTATGGGTTAACCCAATGCTATTGCTCATGGCCACCAGAAATTTTAAATAGAAGCTGTATGGCCATCTGTCAGAAGTACTTCAGTTGTGCTTTCCTGCGTGGTATGGTCCTTGTCGTCTCTTCCGACTTTATGATTCTACATCTAGCATGGCAACATGATACTATACTGGGTGAAACAACTTTCAGGGAAACAGAATATACAGCTATAAACCCATTGCCTTAACTGAAGCACGACTATTTTTTTACACAAATCCTTCCCATATTAAAAAAAAAAATCTGAAGGAAACCTTATTTGCGCATAATTTGTTAGGTCTTCTCTTTAGCAGCAAATATAACTTTGAAAGGAGAGATTCAATATAGGAAGACAATTTGGGCAAATCATTCAGGCTGGTGCTTTACAAAATCCAAGAAAGCAACTCACTCGCCAAGATTACAATTCAAGTGTTTAACAAAGAGGAGAAGGCAGAGGAAAGTAAAATAAGTGTGGACACAAGAAGGCTGTGTTGGCTACAGTCACCTGTGCTTAGGCTCAGCTATAAGGTGTGGAGCTTTAAGGGTTATGTGATTTCACGGGGAAGCTCACACCACTGGATGTATTGAACTTCTCTACTCAGAGAAGTTGGCACTGTGCCTAACCTAGCACAGTCTCACCAGAATAAGAGGGCGGGAGAGAGTTTCTCCCTTTACAGATCTCCATATACCTCCCACATGCTTTTCACCTAAAGCTTAATTGCTTTCTTTGACCTTGGGTGCAAGCACTCTGCACCAAATGATGAAGTACCTGCTCAGCAGTGAATGTATGCAACTCAAAGAGAGGCTTCTGCAGAAAAAAATCTTCTTCTGCTCCGATGCCCATCCGAGCTTTAGATGCCACTGTGTCAGCCATCATCCGAGCAGGATCAAACTCTGCAACAATAGCAACCTAAGACAGATATGGAAATTATAGGGATTTGTTATGTGATCCAGCTTTACGATCAACCCTTCATCCAGACAGAACCCTGGCATCAGCTGACATTGGCAAAGGGCAGTACTGGCAATTCCTTTCATGTGGTTGGCAATCTAAACACAGCATAGAGGATATTGATATATTGGAATGTGGCACATTTTCCTTTAGATAGCACTTGGAGTGTCAGTTGGATCATAAACCATTCATGTGCAGGAAACAACTTTCTGGAAAATTCCTCATACCAAATAAAGATGTACCAAAAAGTAGATAAATAGCAACTAAGAATGCTATACAATCATTCAATTTCAACTTTCTTTAGTCTGGGGCTTTCTAGAGTACTGAATCTGAATGACAGATATATTTGATCTGATTACACTCATCATGATCCACCATACTGACAGGAGATGATATGAGTCATAGTCCACATCATCTGGAAAGCACAAGTTTGGCATAGTGCTATAGATTACTGCTTCTTAAAGTGTGGGTCCCAACCCCAAATGGGGACCCCTTATCAGCTCAATGTAAGGGTTGCAAAAAAATTAGCAACAGTAAAACAGCCTACTTGCTGTTTTAGACATTACATGAATCTGTTAGCAACAACATGCAGTGTTTTCAGTGGACTCTGCAGAAAATGCTTCAGCTGTACATCGTAAAAAGGAAAATCGGCCTGTTTAGCAAGCCTTAAAAATGCTGATTTGTCATCAGTAAATGTTTGGTTTAATATATTGATTTTATATACTACATACCCATGGTCATGTAAAAAATTCTTAGGCCAAAAGGGGGAAAATTAAGAAGCCCTGTTGTAGAAAATTCAGCCATGGCATGGAAAAGTTGGTCAAAAAGTGAACAAACTAGCTAATTTCCCATCTACCTAACCATCTGCCTATTCATAATTCTAGTTTATTTCAGAAGTAGCATTAGTCAAAAATAAACGAATGCTTTTATTTCCCCCTTCTGCAAAGATTCACCTGAATGTCAGGGGTATCACTGCTCAAATATTCTACAACATGTGCTTGCAATAAATTATTTGTAAAGAATTCCTTATGTTTTTACGTCCTCTTGTGTGCCAAAAATTCCTTCCATCATTATATATCTGGAAAAACTACAGTCGCAGCTGCTTGAAATAAGATTTATGGATGTGCAAAGATCCCGACTATGTTTTATGGATTGGAGATAATATTCTTAAAAAGCAATTTGTGTTTTGAAGTTCAGATTACACATTTGCTTTCCACTGAAGATTCTTCAACCTCACAAAGTCTGACTTTTGGAAATGGGGTCACAGGCTTGATAACAAGGAGTTTGTGACTGGGGAAGTGCTCATCCATGGAAGCCGTTTTATGAGAGTATCTCTGACATTGCAAACAATCCCAAAATATGGTGACTGGAGCCCAAAGATAAGGAACCACTGATGTAAACCGATCCTGGATATCTCTGCATCTACTCAACCACCAGCACAGTTTCTTTTTTCCTTGGGATGCACTATCCACCAAACTATCTGGGCAGTTTTTTCACACTGTGCAATGTCTTGTCATTCAATATATGTAGACATACGGTAATGGCGCTTAGGGAGAAAGAAAACTAGCAGCAGCCCTGAGTATAAATCAATCTGAAGTGCAGCACAGTTGCTGACATATCTAATCAAGTGACTAATGCAAGAAAAAATACTGATGACTGAGTTTGTATGTGGTTTTTCCCTTCAGCCACTTTTTGACTGGTTTTAAGACATAGATAAGAGAATGTCTTTATTTGCTCCAATAAGTAAGCACATCACTACATCAACATAGTAGATGTGATCATTCTGACATCTTACAAGGGAAGGGGACACAAACAGCAAAGTCACCGTTTAGTTTTGAGCAACACCACATCAATGGATTGCTGAGGTGAATAATTAATGCAAATTTGAAATATAAATTTATATTGACGTAGTTTTCTGAAAAAGCAGGTTGGGTAAGAAAAGAGTTGTTTCATGCCATGCATGACTTTGTTTTACAAACAAAAAAATTCCAACAATCCAAATAATAATAATAATAATAATAATAATAATAGAATCATAAACTTTTGTTATTCTAAGCCAGAAGAAGGAAAATGTTTTTGTCTTGTCGGGCAAATACAATTCACTAAGATTTACACTCCAAATGTCCTGGCAGCCAATGGAGATTAACAACCTCTCCATTGTTTTCACCAGAATGTATGGAGCATCACATAGCCCACCAAGTATTAACTAGCCCTGTGAGAAACAATGCAGATGGTAGAGCTATTTCTCAGAGAGTAACAATTGTGGCATCCCAGGCCTCCCAATGGGCTGGACTGGGCCTGATGAAAAAATTTTCTGAAACCTAAAAACAGCTAAATCATGATTTAAAAGTACTGTATATACTCGAGTATAAGCTGAGTTTTTCAGCCCTTTTTTAGGCTGAAAAACCCCCTCAGCTTATACTTGAATCAAGATTATTTATTATTTTACTTTGTTGTTTATTACATGTATTATTTTACTCTATTATTATTATTATTATTCTCTATTTATTATTACATTTATTATTTTACTTGATTATTACTGTTATTATTACATTTCCATTATTTTACTATATTATTGTTATTATTACATTCATTATTTTACTCTATTATTATTGGAAGGATACGTAAGCACATTTACACTGAAGAAGGTTAGAATAATGGTTCAATCATAATTGGACAGTCTTATCTTAAATGAAAGTTTTATGTAACTGTTCAAAAACATTTAACCTAATGACGCCTCAATTATTGGTATCTTTTTTTATTTTGAATTTTGCCAGTAACTGTTGCATTTCCCACCCTCAGCTTATACTCGAGTCAATCTGTTTTCCCAGTTTTTTTGTGGTAAAATTAGGTGCCTTGGCTTATATTTGGGTTGGCTTATACTCAAGTATATACGATAAAGGGCAATTACAAGTTAAAGCCAAATGACTTTTTTTTAAAAAAAATACATATTGCATTCTGGGACAATGTGGTCACTACACTTTGAATAAAAGAACTGATGAAAAAATGATACCCAGAAGTTCTGATCAAAATCGCATATTGTTCCAGCAGATTTATTTTCAAAGGGATGAGGCAACTGTCAAATGAACTGTGAGCTTAAAAAATCCATTGGAAACTACTTGTGACAAATGAAGAAAGAGTATCGTCATTTTAGGGCAGGAAGAACAAAGCAGGCACTGTATACACTTATTGACTTGTGTAAATGCAATAAACCTCAGATTCTTCTCTTGGTTTTTGAACTGTAGGACTTTAATCTGATTCATTTATAACAACACAAAGAACACAAATTGACAAGCAATAAATGAGCTTGGCCAGTTCAGGTCCCATCAATATATGCTATTTTAAGATCTCTCCCCACCCCAAGCTACAGAAATCTTACCAAGAACTACTACAGTCTAGACCTCTTATAACATTTATTTATTTATTTATTTATTTATTTCCAACATTTTTGCCCTGTCCTTCTCAGGGCAGCTTACAACGGCAGCAATTTGATGCCGACAACATACAACACATTACGTAAAACATTATATGAAAGATAAAAATTATATTTAAATACATTTAAAACATTATTATCGTGTAGCCAAATCAAATTCTGATTTAGCAACCGACGACCCAATCCAAAACCTACCATAGTCAAAATTTCAACATTATGATTACTGCCAAACCTACTGTCCAAAGGCCTGGTCCCAAAACCATGTTTTGAGCTTCTTTCTAAAAGAGAGGAAGGATGGAGCTGACCTAATCTTGCTAGGGAGAGCATTCCACAGGTGGGGGCACCACTAAGAAGGCCCTGTCCTTGCCAAACGCACTTGCAAAGAGGGTGGGACAGAGAGCAGGGTCTCCCCGTACGATCTTAAATTCCGAGGCGGGACGTATAGGGAGATATGTTCAGACAGGTAAGCTGGGCTGGAACTGTACAGGGCTTTATAGGCCAAGACCAGCACTTTGAATTATGCTCAGAAATGGACCGGCAGTTTTCTTGTTGACTTCTGTTTACTAAGTTTATACATAGCTAAAATTGAGTGTTTGGCGCATAATCAAGAAAACAGGTGTGCTGGGTATAACACACTTTTCCACAAAACATCACCAGCTACAGATTGACCTGTAGCATCTTTGCCCACCTCATTTCACCTGGTTTACATAGCTATGAGTATAAGAACTGACCACCATATTTAATATGACTACATTCCATAGAGATGTCTTTGGAAAAAGATTTCACTTATAAAAAATAGAGTACTTCTGAGGAACATTCATAGAATTGGATCATGAGACATTCAACTCTGACCATACTCTGAACAAAGTAATGTGTTTTTATAGAGATGTAGACTTCTGACAATTACCAATTTAAAATCTGGCATGGAAGAGAAATGCCACTTTAGGTTAATATACCCAAAATGCATAGCGCAGTGTTGAACACTAAGGATCTGAAAGAAATGAAAAAATGAATTGTGCCACAGTGTGCATGCATATGCTGCAACAGATTCAAAGTATGGAAACATGGAGTCAAACAATTTATTTTCTCAATAAATATGAACATGTCCTTTTGTAGCAGCTACTGGGAATGAAGCCAAAAGGTCACTGCAAAATGAAGGAGGACAAAGTGCTTGATCAGTTTGGTGGGGGGGGGGGGCTGCTTGTGTCCCTACAGGTGTTGCTGCACTGCAACCCTTATTATCCTTCACCATTAAGTTATGTTAGATAGAGTTGCACTCTAATCAAATCTAGAGGACCACAAGACATCCAACTTCTGGTTGGACTGGGAGCTGGGAAAAATGATCCACAAATTGGCTCAATGACAGGTTGTGGAGAAAAGTATATTTCTGTGTCTTTGACCAGGTAACCTCCCTGGATTGAGTGGAGGTGAGAAAAAAAGACCTGCTATTGTTTAGCTGAACAGCTAGCCTTTTCATGCAGTACCTACATTAAATACAAACATATGCATACAGGTAAATACTGTAATTCAAAAATCTCAAAAAAAATTGTGAACATCCTGCAGCTCTTCCATGATGACAACCGTCTTGGACAACAATGGCTCCCAAAGTGACCCATTTAAGGTGGAATAAGGTGCCAAACAGGGATGTGTTATTGTTCCAACCTTATTTTCCATCTTCATCACTATGATACTTCATCTTATTGATGGGAAACTTCCCACCGGAATGGAAATCATCTATTGGACAGATGGCAAACTATTTAACCATAGCAGACTGAAAGCCAAAACCAAGGTCATAACAACATCTGTTACAGAACTTCAATATGCTGATGATAACGTGGTCTATGTGTATTCAGAAGAAGACCTACAAGCCACTCTAAACACCTTTGCAGAAGCATACAAGATGATCGGCCCCTCATTGAACATCGAGAAAACCAAAGTGCTCTTCCAACAGTCACCAGTCAATCCCTTTGCAATGCCAGAAATACAGCTTAATGGTGTAACATTAGAAAATGTTGACCACTTGCGTTATCTTGGCAGCCACCTCTTCAAAAAAGTCAACATTGACACTGAAATACCATCTGAGTTCTGCAAATGCAGCATGTTCCAAATGAAGCAGAGAGTGTTTGAGGATCGGGACATCAGTAGGGAGACCAAGGTGCTTGTTTATAAAGCTATTGTCCTCCCAACCCTGCTACATGCCTGAGAAACGTGGACTGTCTACAGATGTCACAGCCAACTCCTGGAAGAATTCCATCAGCGCTGCCTCCGAAAATTCCTGCAAAATCTCTTGGGAAGACAGGCAGACAAATGTCAGCGTGCTGGAAGAAGCAAAGACCACCAGCATTGAAGTGATGCTCCTACCCCATCAACTCCACTGGACTGGCCACGTTGTTTGAATGCCTGATCACCATCTCCCAAAGAAGTTACTATACTCCCAACTCAAGAATGGAAAACAGAATGTTGGTGGACAGGAAAAGAGATTTAAAGATGGGCTTAAAGCCAACCTTAAAAACTGTGGCATAGACACCAAGAACTGTGAAGCCATGGCCCTTTAGCACTCTAACTGGAGGTCAGCTGTGACCAGCAGTGCTACAGAATTCGAAGAGGCACAAATGGAGGGCGAAAGGGAGAAACATGCCAAGAGGAAGGCGCATCAAGCCAACCCTGACCAGGACTGCCTTCCACCTGGAAACCGATGTCCTCGCTGCGAAAGACCAAGCAGATCAAGAATAGGTCTCCACAGCTCCCTACGTATCCACTGCCAAGACACTACACTTGGAGGGCCATCATCCTCAGGCTATGAGGGATTGCCTAAGTAAGTAAGTAAGTATAAAATACAACATATGCATACATGTAAATACTGTTATGCTTCAGTTCTAAGATGTACTTTTTCTCATATTAAAAAAGTGCATCTTAGAATTGTGGTCCTTTTTTAAATATATAAATTAAGCTTTTTGTTGGTGGTACTGAAATTAGTGTGCATCTTACAACTGATGGTATCTTAGAATTTGAAAAAATACATTATAGGCATTTAATATCCCATTCAAGATAAATAGAAAAAACATACTATAATTGACAGTGAAGAGTAAAAAAAATGGTGGGGAGTTGTTCTTTTTTTCCACATTCTGATTATTTCTCAATTATGATATTACACTTGCCATTTGTAGCTTTAATTTCACAGGGAAAAAACAAACACAGGAGGAAAAGATACCTGTTGCCTAAGAGCATCAAGACGTCTCTTCCTTTCTTCTTCCTCATGAGCCTCTTTGAGAATTGCCTCTTTTTTCTCCATCAAGCGCTTTTCCAACAGCCTTTGTCGAAATTGAACTCTTTGGAAGAAAACATGAAGTCAATGACCTAAGGCTTATCTGTTTTCTAAGAGTACGTGATTGTTTGATGAGTGTATTAGAAACAATTAAGACCTGGAATAACCATCTAATCAATAATTTGTTTACATCGGTGTGTGTACCAGATACTGATAGCACAATCCTATAACACTTCCTCAGAACTAAGTGAACATAACACCCAATACACAAGCATAGATCTGTGATGTAAAATGTTCTTAAATTTGGGGATAACTAATATTCAGGTATGAATGCTGATATTTCCAGATGAACTGTCTGAATGCCTTAGAGCCAATGGCTAATTATAACATTTAGGCAACTTTTAGCTGAATGTCAGCGTTATCAGGTATGCTTCGGAATCATGAAACAAAATTCATTTGAAATTATCAGCATTTATATGGGAATATTTACATTCATCAAGCTTCAGACATCCACCATAACATCTGCTTATTGAAGAAAAGTCCTAGGAAAGTAAAAAAAAATGATTAAAAGGGTTATTTTTGTCCCTTTTTCTGGAATTAAACAAGCTGATTGAATAGCCCTTAAACTAAACATAGAACATGGGCCCAAGTGTATTACTACAATTAGAGACGTGATAAAAATGCAGTGAAGGCAGTGTCTGCTTTAATATGGAAAAAACATATTTCTATAGTGGTCAATAACATGAAGACATCTCTATTCATGAGGAAGATCTTGGGAAGAGGCAGGCAGAAGGTAAATTGGGCTCTCTGGTAATTGCTAAGAGTTCCTGATGAAACTATGAATTAAGTATAGGAAACATATTTCTAGAATGAGGATAGGTTCTTCAATTCCGAAGATCTTGAGGTTGTGTTTTTAAAAAACTGAATGAAGGAAACCTAACAAGTCTAAAACAAGAACTAGGGCTATCTATCTAAGAATGCATGCACACTATGGAATGATGGGAATTGTTGTTTTACAAGATCCTTGTCCTTCCTTGCTAAAGAGTGCTGGCACTTCACCAATTTTCAGCTTTCATGATTCCACAGCACTGAGCCATGACAATAAAAGTGGTGTCACATTGCATTAATTCTATGGCATAGATGCATCCGATGGGCATTTTTTTACTCTAGTGACTCCAAGAATTTAATTAAACAGTTTCCAAAGAGCTTAAAGAATCACTAGACTGTCACCTTCATATGTGTCATCCCAGCCAATTATTATCTATTCTATTTGCCATCTATATTGCAATTTCAATCTTAACATGGACTTGGTAAAAAAAAACCATGCTCAAATTACTAAAACTGATTTTAGTGTAATGGCAAAAATTGTTTCTTATCTATAGATGGCTGCAAAAAAAATAAAACTGACTTGTCTACAGAAGACAGATTTTCATAAACATGGAAACAATACATACATGACTATCCTAGATCAAAGACTGGGTCATAGCAACAAGTGGATTGAGTTGTAATCTGAGAAAATGGGAATACAGAGCTAAATCCAATAGTTAGTCCAAAATATAGTAAACACAGAAAAATCACTTATACAAATTCCATTGATGTGTAGTCTAGTTGGGAATAATAATGGTATTTACCCCAATACTGAGAAAATATATACTTATTATATGTACAAGGTTTACAAGTATAAAGATAATGGAGTTTCTATGTTATCACAAGGACAGGGCGGTGAATGCAATATTCCTGCTTCTTAGCAGGGGGTTGGACTGGATGGCCCATGAGGTCTCTTCCAACTCTTTGATTCTATGATTCTATGTGTGACCAACACATCTCTTGGAAGCTACTATTTTGAGGAATTCTCCTTTGTATCAATCGAAGCAACCACCGAAAGGAAGATCGCAATTTCTGAAAGGCATCCATTTTGTGGAACATGAAAGCATTCAACTTCTTTTCTCCATGCTTCCACCCATGTTTTCCCTTGATTTTGATTTATATAATACAACTGCATGCACACAACTAACATGGGCCTTGACTCTAGCCTCACAATATCTATATGACAAACAATGATATGACCTGAATCAGAATGACATGAAGATGCCATACTTCACATTTTATTTGTTATCAAAATACACAGTATGTATGAAGACGGTACTGACAGATGGAATTTGTACTGACAGAACTGTTTCCAATTCACTCTTCTCACTAGGAGTGTGCAAAATGGCACAGAATTCTGTTTTGTTTTTGTTCTGTTTTCAGGTGCCCCCTCTCCTGTTCTGTTTTTGGGTAGATTCTTTCCGAAACAGAAACTGAACTCAGGGTTCTCAATTGTGAATCTGAATGGCCCCCCACATAATTTCCCAGAATCTTCCCAAAACAAAATGGGGAGCACCCGAAATTCAAAATGAAAACAGAATGGATTTTCACACCCTTGCTTCTCACTGCAACCCCCATTGCAATCTCAAAATTTATTCTAGAGTATTGTGGGTCCTCCAGAGCACATTTTGGAATTGGTACAAAGGAGAGAAGAAAGAATCATCACTGGATAAGTAAATACATGCTCATACCATGTTTGAAAACACACTTGCATAGATTTGTTCTCCACACATCTGAAGAATATTGCAGAGTCATTAGGCCATTTGTGTGTTACATACAGAGTCATTAGGCCATTTTAGTGTGTTATATAATCTGAAAGAATACTCTTAGTATTGCTTCAAAGCAAATTTTAGAATGGTTGTGAAGCACTAAATTAGACTCTTCCTCCCCCGTGTTCAATTTTAACTAAATATCATGGTTAAGTAACATTCCTTTTTTTAAACAACAAGTTGAATAATGAGCTTAGTTTGCTGGTTTCAGTAAAGCCACCTTTTGAAGTACTGCGAATACACGTTTGTGTAATTTCCGATAAGCATAATTTCATTAAAATTGCTTTCAGGATGCATCTCATACATATTAAATAGAAAATGTAGCTGCCATAGCTATTGTAAGAGCTTTAAGGGAGCATTATGAACATATTTATAATATGTGCACTATTTCATCCAGGAACCTTTTCCCGACTAGAATAAATATTCATAGTAGATTCAAACAGGCCCAATCAAAAGAGAGTCTTCTGTATCAGTCAAAAAGCACAGATTCAGAATGTTTCTCCATTTCCTTCTCTGATAATTCTGTTTCTGCAGTATGTTTGAAAATATGGATCAAAAGGCTTGACCTCCAGTTTTGAATTTCCAACTTGATAAACCAAAGTCTTCAAGAGTTTACAAGCCAGTGTGGAGGAATATTTATAGATATGATTGAATAAGGAACCTAGCCTGTTGTTTTGAAATAGCGGTATTGGCTTTGGGACTGAATTCCCCCGCCCAAACTATTTAGGACATAAACTACATATGCTTTTGCCTGGTTCCCTTTGCCAAAGGTTCCCTCCTCATTCAACCAGTTTCTGTATCTTCAGCATCATCTTTATGACAGCATGCAAAAAAAGTCATTCTCAGGCCCTGCTGATCTGGAAATGACTCTAAGAAAAACTGGCTATTCTATTAATTGAAAAAAGGACTACTACATTTCTCATCAGCCTTTCTCTCAGTACACCTAGCATGTTGCCATCTTAGTATGAGAAGCACAGAGGGATGTCGAATCCCTAAAATTGAGAAAGTTAAGCACCCTAATCAGAATCTGAGGGATTCTGGGAGTTGTAATTTTAAAAGTAATGTTTCCAAGCTGTGTTTATTACTTTAACTTTAGATGTTTCTGAACCCTTGACTTTATGACTATTATCGAGAGTTTCATATCTCTCTTAGCCAGAAAGCTGGAACTGTAACTAAGAAACCATTTCAAAAGCACACAAAGCTGTAAGACCTGCAATGCAAAGGGTGATGCCGGTTTTCATAGCAGTTCAGCCAGCAGTGAGCATCAAGGAAATAAGAGGCAGAAAGAAACTGCTGTCACTCAATAGGGATAATGGAAAAGGAAAATCAGATACCATTTCTGGTAAGAGACACCAGAGGTGGTGCTACACCTATCACCTGACTGAGTAAGAAAGTCCAACATAAGCAACAAGGCCAGCATTCACTGCTTTCTCACATCTCCCACGAGAAAGAAGTTTCTTTCCCACCCATGGCATTACTCAGTACCAATGGTGGCTTCTGTTGTGCTCTTATCTCCAGAGCTTCTAACTGTCATTTTTTTTGTATTACAAAACCCATGAGCCAGGAACTATGTTTCTTTGATGATTCTGAAAAACATATTCCCAAAAAATAAATTCAATTTACATCCTCATGCACGACCTGACCAGTTTTTCACTTTCACCCATTAAACATAGATTTTGAAGAATAACCTGTCATTGTATCAAACTCATTGAGACAAGGCAGCTACTGTTCCCTCTTTGATTCACAGCCAGTCACTGGTCTACAAAAGCACAACAATGAAATAGGTCTTTTGTTGGATTAGAGCAGTGGTTCCCACTTTTTTCTTTTTCTTTTTCTTTTTTCTTTACCAGGGACCACTTTGACCAAGGACCACTCTTCAACATTATGAATCAGTTTTTGGTCAACTGTAGATTTGGCTTGGTTATATGGGGTGGTGATTCAGAAAATTGCATTGGATAGACTACATTAGCTCTAGTTTCTGATACAGAACATATGCCATCCAGTAGCCGCCATTTGCTTGCCCATAGAAAACCATATTTATTATTTAACAATCTAGAGCTGATGCGATAGTAGAAATCTTTTGTGGGTAGTCAGCCTCTCCCCTCCTAACATCCCCGTTGCCTTGGCACAATAAGAGGGTTTCGCCAGACCAGTTACTCTTGTTGCTTTGTAGTTTCAAAGCAACAGTGCAGTAATGGTGAAACTGCGGACCATATTTTTGTTCTTGCGGACCACTGGTGGTCCATGGACCACAGACTGGGAACCACTCAATTACAGCCAGAGATGGAGTCATCACTCCATTTCAGTGAAGTGGTAAATCCACTCTAGATTTAAGCCTAAACCTCAAATGAATGATCCAAGGTGCTGAACCTTGCCTACAAAACAGGACAAGAATTTTAGACAACTCTTTTTGACATAGAGGCTAAAA